TGTCCATTCTATCCGTTAGTCACGGCACCAATATTAGGTTTTGAGTTGTATACTTCGCGTTGTTATAAGGTTAGGGTGATACCAGGGAAAATACTTTTGTACAGTTCAATATTCTTTTCAAACATAAACATTACATAGTTACAATACTCCACACTATTACGCGACGTCATACAGTAATTGACGGTGGCACATATAGTTACTCTTCACGTTCCCGTAATTCTCTACAAAGCTTTTACACACAAGAAAAAGTCCAATCTACATCAAAATTTCTTTAACACAAAAGGTCCCGTTTTTTCTTCTAAAAAATAACGTCTTTATTATGGATAAAAACCAATAGAGGTGTGATGACAATAAAATGGCTGTAAATGTATTGCGTATTGGCTCTAAACATAAACTTTCTGTTACATCAGATGAATACATTAATCTTGTCATAGATGGACAACAAATTAAAGAAAGTGCATGTGAAAAGGTTCTTTTTTGTTTGTCAGGCCGCACTTCAAATAATCAGCTTGATATGCATGCAATTACCTCAATTTCCACGGCTTAGAATTTTTTCGTTGGTTATTAATGTACATTTGAAGAGAGATTTTTAATTGCTCTTAGTTAGAACGCATGCAAAAAAAAGAATTTCACATTTTTTACATTTTTGAGACCATTTTAATATTATTGTATACATATATGCATGTCCCTTTGGTATCTTTCGCCTCTCGTTTGATTATTTTTAACCACACATTTGCAATACATAAGTATTAACAAAAATACCGAACTCCAGGGTAAATTTCTATTCCAGATAAAACCTGACAAAATCAAACGTTATAAGAAAAGATAATGCATTGTCACCACTTTCAATGTTGTGACAAAACCAAATATGTATGTATATATCTAACTGCAATGGCATATGCATAATAAAATTACTTATTCTATTCAATGTGTCAATACAAAGACGATCGTGGTGATATCATTCACGTCATGAAAGTTAAAAAACATTTCTTCAGAAATACGGCAGAATATGAAACCAAATCAAATCTTTCAATTACGTTCTAATAAGATTTTTCAAAAAACCATATGGTTTTGTATTTGTTTCTATAGTCAACAAAATATATATTTACACAAGAACTAGAATAATTTGTAATATTATGATAATCAAATCTTTGACTGCATTCATAATGCACTCCGAAAACGTGGCTGTTTTAATAGAAAGACCAGCGACAGTACATAGAATAAAATATCTTAACGACAAAGTTATATTTGTACGAAAAATAGGTATGGGATTTAAATAGAACTTTAGCTCTTATGTTCGTGTCAATATGCGTACTTTACATTGGATTCAAGGTAGAAAGATATTTACAGAAAATTATACACGGGATATGGCACTTGTCTACCATAGCCGCTGTCTACGGTAACACTCAACAATTAGGGAATAAAATTAAAATTGACCCCACAAAAAGTTAAACATCCTCTTCTAAGTTGATTTATTCTTTGTAGATATGTATTACCTGTAATGGCTCTAGTCTTTTTATTTAAACAATCACGTTTGCAGGGTGTTTTTTGAATGTTGTCAATGATTTTGTAAACTTATCGATCCTTTGAATAAACTTAACTTGCAGTGAGGTTAGAGTATTTTTTGTTCCGTGTCATGGATAGATACCTTATATCCTTTCTTTTCTATTATTCTAAAAGGTTACCAATTCAAACGAGAAATCATGTTAAATCAACTTCCTTTTATGAAATTTATTTAATGAAAATTATGTTGGTGTCCAAATACAGCCCTCAAATTGATGCACTATGGCATTTTTGCCTTGTTTGGTCATTAAGCATGCGTACATTTAAGACTTATCCTGAAATTTCAATGTTTGCATTATTTTGTCTGAAATCAATGAATCATGTTAAATATGACTTGTATATAGTAAAAAGATAGATTTTGGTCAAATTATCTTTCGAGTTTTCATGTTTTATTTGGTTTCTTATTGTATCATTTTATGACTTAGGAAGGAGGTATATACTTCTGAAAGAATTCCAAAATCACTTGAAATGCAATTTTTAACAAGTTTAGCAAGTTGTTTAGCTGGTTGATACATAAATTGATCTTGTTTATCCATGTTATTACATATAAGTATTTTTTTACCAAAAATACCACTTTTCTAATTTGCAGAAAAAAATATGGACACAATTCTCAATTATATTTTATGTTTGGACTACTATTTACCGGTATATTCAATGAACAATCTTTGATAAAACTAAGAACATTGTGATTTGAGAAGATATTAACAAATAATTAGAATTGTTAACATGGGAAAAAGTCTCTTATTGGTCACTACTTTTATCCATATGCAGTTTTCTTTGAATAACGTATATCTTACTACAAGTCTAGTTTCTTTGCTAGAAATAGGACATAATACGAAATTAAGTTAATCAGAAGTCGATATAGCAAGTTTGCTCCTGTTATAGGTATAAAACCAATAATGCGGACCCGTTCAGAAAAAACATACAAAAACATATGGAAATGAAACATTCTGTAATTACAAAAACTTCATCATAAGGAGCACTTCTAGATCTGACTAACTCTCAAACCGTAGCAAATAGTGAAAAAGCAAAATACTACATGTAAAACATTGAAGAAAAACAAAATGCAGCAGATATTTCTATACAAGAATTATCTTGCTGTATGCAGATCAGCCAATGGAACGACATGAAAAATTGGAAAATGATCTAAAACTAGGCATATTTGAAGAAGATTAGAAATCAATTCATTCTCAACCTTTTAGATGCACCCAAAAACATATATATATTATTTTCCGATATAAAATTTTATCTAGAATTTTATACACAAACTCACAATACAAGTGAAAAATGTCTGAAACATAATTTTGAAGTTTATTCACAGAGATCAAGACTATCATTCATCTATTTTGTGATTGTACTTTCTCCAAAAAATTATGGTTGGAAATGAAAGATTTGTGACATGGAATTACCAATTTCGGCAAAAGCTGCAATTTTTGGAGATATCAAATCTGATTATTTTACAATTTACATTATTTTTTCTCATTAAATACTTTACATATACATGTAAATTAACGGTAACAACCCTTCCTATGTTGGTGCTTTTGAAAGTATTAAACAAGCATACAAAATAGATAAACTATTTTTACCATTCTCCTGCAGTAAGTGTGAAGATGGACACAAAGTGATCTGTCTTAAGGAACATGATAAACGGGGAGTAACTCTATTTTGTTTTATTATGATCAATAGTTGGTTGGATACACTATACAGGACGGAGAGTAATAAAGTGCATCCAACAATATTATGTTACAACATTCTCGTAGTTTTGATTCATAGTGTGCTCTTGGTCCTCTGGATATCCGCTCCTTTTACCACTCTGATCCCAGATAAATGCAGGAGTCAAACACTGCAATTTTTTCCTGGGACCCATTTCCCGCTTTATTGCCAATCTCTTCCACTTGTTCCACCCAGCTCTCACCTCTCCATCCGGGTACAGAATACCCTTCAGCCTTTCTGCAAGCCCATGCTTGATGCAGAAAAACCGGTGTGGGATAGTGTCCCCTGCTGTAAATTTTAGAGATGTCAAATAAAACTGTAACAAACGACGTAAATTATCATTTTAAACTATTCACATCAAAATAAGAGAGGCGAAATATACCAAAAGAACATTCAAACTCATAAGTCGAAAATAAACTGACAACGCAATGGCTAAAAAAAAAAGACAAACAGACAAACAAAAGTACACAAAACACAACATAGAAAACTAAAGACTGAGCAACACGAACCCGACCAAAAACTAGGGGTGATCTAAGCTGATCCGGCTTCACATGTGGCACCCGTCGTGTTGCTCATGTAGGTACAAACCCGGTGATAAGTCTAATTCAGTAGGTCTCATTCGGGAAAAGGGGACGGGATTGTAGTTACGACAATAGGAACATATCTGTCGTCATCTTTGAAACGGATATTTTATAACGGTAAACCAACTCGTGATGTGGTTTGTAAAATTTACGAAGGGATGATTTCAACTTCACTACTTATAACTCTTGGTTTAGTAGCTTCCTTGTGAGCAGCAATTCTCTATCAAGGAAATCATGATAGGAAATGCAAGCCCTGGAATATCGTATCAACAGGGAAATATGTATTTCATATGCAGGCACTGCTGGAATATTAATACATAGAAATGAATAGTTTACAATTGGGAAGCTGAATTCATCTCTTTCGTATATCTGCGTTTATAAGAAATTATAAACGCATATAGACGAACATTTATTTTTGCAGTCTTTTATGTTTAAAAAATTGAAGGCAATAAATTATACACAAATCAATCTTCCCATAACCAAAAAAACAAGATTTCTAGCGTTTTCTTCAAATATTGATCATCTATAACTGTGTACAATTAGCCATGCTTAGAAGTAAAAACATTTTTTTTTCTATATTTGAATCATGATATCGACATTTTCCTACTTTAAAACTAATGTTTTAATCTGATGTACATTGGTTGTGAATTGTAAAAAAATATTGTCGGCGGTTTTTGCTGTGTATTTGATATTTTAACAAGAATGAGAAGATACGAAAGGGGCAATCAAAAGCTCGATGTCTAATAAAACATCATCGTCAAATAGAACAACGACCCCAAAAAAAACGAAGCTAAAACAAAAATCCACAAAAAAAACCTATGAATGAGAATCGCAAATTCTAGTAAAACATTGGGTGAAGTGAAGTGCTCCAGAAGGTAAGCAATTTCTGATCAACTAGTGGATCTCGTCATGATACTTACTGAAAGAATATCTATTTTGCATTGACATGGTAAATATCAGGAAAAAGAGGAGTCTGTTCATCAGCCTTTGTGTCCCCTTCCGATTTTAACAAAGCCTTGATAAAGAATTTTTCCAAGATAAAAACTTAATATTATGAACAAAAGACTAAGAACATTTATTTTCTTAAGTTTAATGAATATTGCAGAATTAACATGTCTAAGGTTTTGATATTTTTCAGCTTTTTTTAAAGAAAATGTTTTCGTTTTTAAAAAAAGAACCGAAATGTTATGCTGTTGAAGATGAAATTAGAATAACTTTACTTGGGAAAACTGGAGCGGGGAAGAGTGAAACCGGAAATACTCTATTAGGAAGAGAATATTTTGTGGCTAAGGATTATGGGACTTCAGTGACAAGAAAATGCTGCCTTGGGGAAGTTATTCGTGGTAAAAAGAAAATAGTTGTTGTGGACACCCCGGGTTTATATGATACAAAACTATCTAAAGAAGAAACAAAAAAAGAATTAGCAAAATGTATCGGTTTGACTACACCGGGACCTCATTGTTTTCTTGTGGTAATTCAGGTCGGGAGATTTACTTTTGAAGATCACCAGACTGTCAAGGATTTAATGCACCTTTTTGGAAATGAAGCACAGCGATACATTATTGTCATCTTCACAAAAATTGATTCATTGCGAGGGGACCAATCTTTGTCATACGACAAAAAATTTCAAAACTATATTAAAAGAATACCAGAGGACTTACACAATTTTCTTGTGTTTTGTGGAAAGAGGTTTATTGGATTTAATAATAATCAACCATTTAAAAAGCGGAACCAACAAGTTGATCAACTCTTAAAGTTCATCCAAGATACGATGATCAGAAATGGAGGAAGATTCTACAGCAATGAAATGTATGAAGAATCCGAAAGAATGATACAGGCCCAAGTGTTACGTGTTGACAAAATGTTACAACAAATGGCAAAAGAAAAGGAAGATAATCTTAGATTAGAAATAGAAAAGGAAAATCAAACGAGAAGAAAACAAGCATTGGAGAATGAAGTAAAGAGATTAAGGCAAGAATTAGAAAAAGATAGAAACGACGAAGAACTACGAAGAAAAATACGATCGGAAATAGAAAAGGAAACGGGTTCATTTTTGGATACCTTATGGCCATACCTGAAAATGGGTCTGACAGTTGTTGTTGAGAAACTCATTAAAGATAAACTAGGCATTGACGTGGCAACAATGTTGAAATGATACTTGTTTTACAATGTATGGTACTTGCATTTTGCATAGACCTTCCTCTTCTTCTACAGCTTCTTCTCCTTTGCATTAAACTTATTCTTCTTTTTCGTCATTCGTATAATAACCACATAAATGATATTTTATTTCATTTCAAATATACATTATTGCTTATCTTTAAAAACTGTTACAAGTGAGTGTTTTATATTGACCAACATGTGGCTTGTATCCTGAATCATTCTTAGTGCCTAAGATAATCTTAAGATCTTTTTTTCTGCTAAGAGTGTATTCAAAAGTGATCTTAGAATGATTGACCACCCTTGAAATTTCAGCCGAATGTTACTCTTATGGGAGTTGGGCTAGTATCATATAAACCTATCTTAAGTTTCATTTAAGAGAAAACTTACGAAAGCTCTACGAGAACGTTACGATGATGTTAAGCGTGTATCTCCAATCTCCTCGTATGCTTCTCTTAACTTTTTTATATGACTCTTAGCATTAACTTACGACTCGGAGTTAAGGGAACGATCTTATCGACTTTTCCGGATGAACCGTCTTTAATTTGTATGATAATATTAGAATTCGCAGCAAAACCGATAGTCTAAGTCATTTGGATGTTTAAATGAAAGCATGAGAAATTGTTTTGTGAAATATCTTTTAACTCTGAATGAATCAAGGTCGATGTGTATGATCTTGTATGGAGTTTGAGTTGATTAAATTTCAGTATAAGTTCGGTTGATGTTGTCGGCCAAAACGCGGTAACGTCTATTATTTTATGATATAACGACATTGTCTTTCAATTGAATAAGGACTATTATATTCTTTATGTAAGATATGGCAAAAGACAACTACTGATGAAGTTTTAGACTTCAAAAGAATAAAATAAACATTTATCCATTCTAAAGTTTGAAAAAAAAATAGTTTGAAAAAAAATAATTTATGGACTCGATCACGAGTTTGTTGGCCATATATCTCGTCATTCCATGGATCAGTCCCAATTGTCGTTACCACAATCCCATTGGTGGATCCAGGGAAAAGGGGGGTATTCCCGGGGTTTAAACATAAATATAGACATAATGTTTTACATTGATTGTTTTTACAAATGTATAAAATTCTAATATATGAATATGAGTATATTTTCGATACTTCGACGAATGAGGATTCAACGAGCTCTAAATGAATAAAACATTTCATATAAAATCGAAAAAAAAACATCGCCAAAAAACGTACAATTCGCCTTACGTTGACTGAATATGAAGGATTCTAATATGACGTGCTTCTTTCGCTTTGTAAACAGCAGCGTGATAAAATTCTCGATATATCTATACTTATCGAAGACTCAGAGATGAATATATTAATGGCCGTTACTATTTATTATATATGTAATCCACTTCATGTTCTTGAACATATAAGGCATCAACAAGGGACCTCCAACTCGTTTTATCTTTCGCGATTTTCATTATCTGATTCCAGGTGTAACCGTGTCTTTTTATCTCTGCTATTTTGTCTCTTCTTCGTGTGCTATTATGTCTTCCAGGCTTTCTTGTCCCTTGTGGTATCCATGTCAGCACTTTTCTCATATGCCAGTTGTTATCCATTCTCAATATGTATCCAATATATTTCCACCGACTTCTCATGATCTCATTTACTATATTCATCACCTCTGTTCTTTCTGATAGTTCACTGTTTGGAATTACGTTTGGCCATCTGATGTTAACAATTCGTCTCAAACAACGTCCTTCAAGTCCTCTAACTCGACTTTCTAATTTTATAGTTGTTTTCCATGTTTCTGAACCGTATAGCAGAAATGATCTAACATTGCTCACATACAATCTAATCTTAGTCTTTCTAGAAATTCTGTTGTTTTTCCATATGATGTTCAGGTTTTTTGAATGCAGCAGCTGCTTTACCAATACGGATGTTGACTTCTTCAATATTTCCTTCTGCATTGATGCTACTACCAAGATAGTTGAATGAATTTACTTGTTCCAATTCTTTTCCGTTCACTGTTATTACGTTCTTGTTCTTTGTTACTACCTTCATCACTTTAGTTTTCTTGCATTTATTTTCAGTACTACTTTTGCTGCCTCCGATGTAACTTTATCCGTCTTTTGCTGCATATGTTCGTGTGTATGAGAAAAGAGGCTGATATCATCAGCAAAGTCCATGTTCTCCAAAAATGTTGTTAGTCCCCACTGTATGCCATGATTTTCAGTTGTTGCATTCTTTATTACCCAGTCAACCACCAATTTAAAGAGAAAAGGAGATATTAATCATCCCTGTCTTATTCCAGATGTGATGTAAAACCAGTCTGATAGTTTTCCATCATGTCTGACAGCACATCTAAAACCATCATACATATCCATAATGATGTTAATTATTTTCTGTGGAATTCCATACATACTCATGATGTACCAAAGTGACTCTCTATGGACGCTTTCAAATGCTTTCTCAAAGTTCACATAATTTATATATATAGATGATCTCCATTCTAGTGCCTGTTCTATAATATTTCTGAGTATGAGGATGTTATCAATGCATGTACGAAATCCGTGATGTTCTTCCCGTAGAATAGAATCAATTTTGCCTTTGATTCGTTCTAGAATTATTCTACAAAGTATCTTTCCAGGCACTGATAGTAAAGCTAATCCACGCCAGTTTTTACAATCTGTACGGTTGCCTTTCTTTAGTAGTTTTATGATGATACCATCTTTCCACTGAGTAAGTAGTATTGCTTTTTCCCATAGTTCATTCAATATTTCACGTAGGATGTTCACATTGAGATTTATGTCTGCTTTTAGTACTTCTGCTGGTATGCCATCTGCCCCAGGAGCCTTGTTGTTTTTAAGTTTCTTAATGGCTGCTTTGATCTCATCATCTGTTATGGGTCCCATTTCTATTTTTATTGGCGGTGGAGCTTCCTCTGACCTGTCAACTGAGATTTCTGGTTCAGTCTATTTAACACTTGTTCAAAATGCTCTTTCCATTTTTCCAATTGTTTCTCATATTTGCATATTATTTGGCCATCTTTATCTTTGTTGTTAGTACTGGTGATATTTACTTTGCCACTGAGTTGTCTTGTGATGTTATATAACTTTCTCATATCTCCAACTTTAGGTGCTATTTCAGCCTCTTATGCAATATAATCTATGTATGCCTTTTTGTCTGATTTTACATTCTTTTTTACTTCTTTTTCTTTACTATTATACAGCTCTTTCATTCCCTCTAGTTGTTCTCCTGTTGCTTGATTGGTTTTTGATTTTAAATGCTTTTCTTTCCATAATTAGAGCCCACGTTTTATCAGATATCCATTCTTTTCTTTCTTTGCTTTTGTAACCTAATATGTCTTGTTTTTAGATAAATTCCACTCACATGTTGCCACATTTCCTCAGTTTGATATTGAAGTTTTGGTTTGTTTCAGGTTGTTGAAGTTTACGAAAGTCTATAATCTTGCTTGGTGTTTTGCATTTATTTTTCCTTAATTTTAGTCTGATCTTTCCAATGACTAGGTGATGATCACTATATACATCTGCACCTTTTTTACTTTCACATCTAACAGTGATGACCTCCATTTCTTAATAATCAGAATGTGGTCGGTCTGGTTTTTCACTTTCCCATTCGGCTTTGTGAATTTTTTTATGTTCAAAGATTGTTTCCCCTATTATCAGATTGTTCATAATACACATCCCTACTAATCTTTCACCATTGTTGTTAATTTCTCCAAGCCCATGTTTTCCCATCACTTCTTCTGAACCTGTGTTAGCTGAACCTACTTTTGCATTAAAATCTCCAATGATGGTAAGTACATCGTGCTTTGGTGTGTCCATTATCATTGCATTTAAATCTCCAATGATGGTAAGTACATCGTGCTTTGGTGTGTCCATTATCATTGCATTTAAATCTCCAATGATGGTAAGTACATCGTGCTTTGGTGTGTCCATTATCATCTGATTTAATTTATCATAAAAGTTCTCTTTTTCATTATCAATGTAATCATTCGTTGGGGCATAGCATTGGATAACAGTCATATGCCCATACTTGGTCTTCATGCGTATTTTTATCATTCTTTCATTTACTGCTATCCATTCTACAACAGACGTGCTTGCTGTCTTACTCAGTAGAATAGCTACTCCTTCCTGGTGTCTACCATCTGTACGTCCTGAATAGTTGTATCTGAATAGTGTGTAAACTTTCCTGAATCAGTCCATCTGCATTCACTAACACGCAATATATCAAGTTTGAATCTCTTCATTTCCTTAATAGTTTGAACAGTTCTGCTTGTTTCGTTCATATTTCGGAGTTTTGTCGCTCGTCATAGGCTGCATTCCTGCAGAGGTTTCCATCTGTCTACACTGAACTAATTGATTTTTCCTTGTTTCTGTTTTTGTAGCATAAGTTTCTTTCCGTGGCTGAGTAGCTAGCCCATCGCACAACCCCCTTACAAGGAGGGCCAGGGATTTATTCATCAAGGTTTCCTTCCTCTAGATGAGCTGCTAGCCAAAGCTTATGACTCCCATTTACTATTTACCGCACACATAAATCCACATGTACCGTTACCTATAGTCTACCTAAGTGTTTCCAAACGCAGGAGTTCAAATTGTTCCTCTATATGTGGCTCCACTTGTGCTACTTCCGGTGTTATATGTGTATTCAGTGTTAAAATTTTATATCATTGAGTGGTCTTTCAAATGCTTGTCGAGGTGATGTTCAAAAATCTTTTAGTTCTTTGCAATCACTACGATGTCTGGTAGGCTATTCCACACTTCCACTACTCGGTTAGTAAAGTAGTAAATCCTTAAGTCTAGTCTGCTTCTGTTTTTTACCAAATTCATCGAGTTGCCTCTTGTTGTCGAGCTTGTGTTACGAGTAAATAAACCTTATGTTACTCTTGAGTCATATACTCCTGTTGATATATTGTAGGTCTCTATCATGTCGCCTCTTAACCTTCGAAATTTCAATGTAGAAATTTTCAGAGTTTTCAATCGTTCTTTGTATGACAGATCTTTGAGGTTGGGTAACATTTGTGTTGCTGTACGTTGGACGTTTTCAATTGTCTTGATATCTTTCTTTTTGTATGGGTTCCATACACTACTAGCATATTCAAGATGAGACGAGCTAATGCCTTAAATAGTAGACAGAAGCATTTGTAATCTATATATTTAAAAGTTCATCTAATAATTCAAACTAGTTGGTTTGCTTTGTTGACTTGTGTCTGTATATGTTTGTCGAATTTCAGTATGGAATCTATAGTTACTCCTACACCTTTCTCCGATTGAAATGTTTCTAGTGTGATTTCAGATCCATCGTATGCAGACATTTTATATTTTCTCTCTTGCCCAGCAGTGGATTTGGTAGAAATTGGTAATACTTTGCATTTGTCCGGGTGGAATCGTAATTTCCATTTTCACTCCATTTGAACATTCTGTCTATGTCATTTTGCATTATGGTTTTGTCAATTTTGCTGTTTACAGATCTATATAGTTTTGTGTCGTCTGCAAACATGAATACATCAGACTCTGTACAAGACGGCAAATCGTTTATAAAGATAAAAAAACAGGATTTGTCCCAAAACTGATCCTTACATGGAATACCACTAGTAACATCATGCCATTTTGAAAAATTTCCATTGATTTGTACTCTTTGTTGGCGGCCTCTCAGAAAGATCTGGATCCAATTATATGTCTGTAAACTCATGCCATATGATCTAAGTTTGTTAATAAGTCGTCTATGTGGGACTTTGTCAAACGCCTTCATAAAATCAGTAGAAACTGCGTCAATTGATCCACCACTGTCTAAAATACCGGTCCATTGATCTAGGACTTTAAGTTATTGTTATGAGGTTGATCTTCGTCCAATGATACCAAATTGTCTCTCACTAAATAAATTATAACGGTGCATATGGTCTACGATTATTTTCTTATAAGTTTCTCCATCAGTTTGCAGATAATACTAGTCATGCTAACAGGTCTGTAATTTGAAGCTAGTTTCCTGTCACCTGTATTTTGGCCTATTTTCCCATCTTTCGGTACAGTACCTGTTTTAAATGA